CAATTAAGTTATTATTATTATTATTATCATTATTATTATCATTATTATTATTATTATAAAAATGAATACTAAATTGCCGAGACATTTTATTAGGAAAAAAAACTGATTGGATTATGCCAATTTTTTCTCTGTTATATTATTTTCTACACTCAGGCTATAAGTGATAAGTTCGAGTGCAAAATAAAGAAAGATGCAAGGGAATATTTTGATTTAATGCCTGATGATTTTGTGCAAGAGAGCATAAATAAGAGAGGAAAACTTCTTCATAACGCGCGCGCCATGTATATTCCCGGTTGGGCTATTTTTAGTAGCCGGATGCAGTTTAAATGTAGCCTTACCCTACTCAAGTGCGTCATCAACTTGTGCGCGCTAGTTGATGATGCATCCGGTTACAAAAAATAACCCAACCGGGTGGCAGCCTGACAGACGTTTTACAGACAAATGTGTGCATTTTCCTAGCTGTGTAGACACTCCATCCTTATATGAATCAGTTAGTTAGTCACGATGTGGAATGAAAACCTTGGTCAACCAGGAGAAAGTTAGCCTCCTTTGCAGCCGTTCTTAGGGTCGTCACGCAACGTTGCGTGACGACCCTAAGAACGGCTGCAAAGAAGGCTAGGAGAAAGTAGAATCAATAGCATATTGACCCCAGGCAATCACGGTTTCTTTTCCACATGTCCAGTTGATACACAAGGCGACAAAGTTTAGGTTAGCTTAGTTTTATCTCTCGTAAATCAGATCTGAAAAGCTCTTTAGAGGGAGATCAATAAAGTTGTTGTATTGTATTGTATTGTACAATTTCTCGTTCAAGTTCAAAAAGCTTTGCGTTTACATAATTTTACTGAGTATACGTAACATTAAAATGTAAGAAATGTTTCAAGACGTCTTTCAGTTGTCGAATATACAGCCGCTTAACACTGCACTGTCCATATTACATAGCATAACTGACTTACGTGATTTTAGGGTACACAGTACTAATAGTAGAAGCGCTAGCGCGCCTAGCATAGCGAAAACAATCTAAAGGAAAGACAAAGCAAAGCATAGAAAAGGTTACTATTAAACTTTTCAAAAGCATGCGATAAAATTTCAATGGAATATACACGTCCCCGGTTTCAGTCCAAGGAAGAGCTCCAGGTCCTTAACGCAAGCGGTAACTTTTTCTTCTACTGGGTGCTAGAACCAACATACATTTATCAATTTTATACATTTGTATGCTATTATGATCCTTGTGCGTACTTACGGTATACAATCCCATTTTGAAGTTACAAACAACAGTTGAATAGGACACTTTGATACTAAAGATTATCACGTGATGATAAACTTGTTTTCTTGATAACGATCGTATTTCTCTTTAAAAAAACGCAAAAAATATTATGTAATGTGCATGAAATGTGATAAAATGAATTAGTTATACTTAGTTTTGAAGTTCATATGAATTGATTTCTTTTAAGAAGAAAATTGATGTCATATTTGAAAAAATGTAATTTTTTGTGTACTTTCGGTCATTGTACCGTTACAGTCTCTAAGCGTGGAGACGAAACGGACGAGCGAGAGACTGTGGAAGAGTCTAAAATGTACCTTCGAGAAATTTGATAATAGTGCAGTCGTGACGTCATAAAAACGAAGACAAAGGAAATTCGGACAAACAAACTTACAAGTTTACTTTCAGCACATAATTTTCACAGCCGATCGCAGTTGATCTTAGTTTACATGGGTTATTATTGTAATTTTAAGTAAAAATGATAAAATCGGTTCGTATAATCCTCGTAGCGGTTAAACAGAATGCAATGTTTGTTTTTTAGAATCAGTGCGCTGCGCTATTGCCACGATATTAGCGTGCCAATGCAAGACATTCCCTCGGAGGATGTTTGGTTTCAGTCAAATAATGTCAAAATCATAAACTCAACACGTTTAATGTCATTTCAACCCGGTTCATCTTTTACATCCCTTAGGTTCAGTTCTATCTCCTTTTCTCTCTCTGTCTTTATACTAATATATGTGCATACTAATCTTGATTTGCATTTCTGGTATGCTTCAAGTCTTAACTAAAGTATTAATATTTATAGCATCGTCTTTGTTTCCTGGGACGTAACAGAGGATATCATATTCTTTTAATGTATATAACACGACTCTAAAAGTAGTGTAGAAAAGACAGGTTTCTAAAATAATCTGTAATCCGCTTCCTTACTGCTGCGCGAATTCACACTCGAACCATGAACCGCTTGACACATTTTTTCTACTGGCATTAACGAATACCGTCGATTCATAGTTTTACGGATTAATTTTGTTCTATATGTACCTACATAATTATTCATAAAATTTTCTGTTTTTCTATGAGTTCCCCAGCTACGAGTCAACCCTGGGTCAACAATCGAACATAATCGAATATTCGATTACGTTCGTTTGTACTTTAGGATTCGATTGCAGTCAATCGATCACAATCGAACATTCAATTACGTTTGATTGTAAGCCTTAAACATCAAGATGTGTCGAAGACTAGTACCACAGTTTTACCGGGCTTTAGTAATAAAGATTATCGTGCTCAGGGTTCAAGAAGAATCGCTCTCAACATCAACTTGAGTTGTGAAACCTTTCAAATGTAGTTAGACGTCGAACATTTCTTGCACTATGTCTACAAAATTTCATCTCAATCTTCCATTTTACGCACTAAAATTCTCTCACTCTCCCACTTCCCCCATCCCTGCTTGATTTCCCTATTTGAGCCAAGTTAAGAAGTAATCGACGAAAATACTATCGGTTAAACTAGGTACGACACGAAAAATCCAACCTACACAGACACACCAGATTTCTGTAGTGCTTACAATAGCGTATCAAGATATATGAGGAATAAATCAGTGCTTACCTAAGTCACTTGGAACATCTTTGATCCTCGGCAATCGACCGACTTGCAAGAAAAGTAGACCGCGTGTCTATTTCCCCGAACTCTTACTGTCGGTTTTTCATTAATTATTCATTAGCATCTGACTCCCTGCGTGGAAGATCCCGGCAACCGACTTGTGTGACTGAGAATAAAGCTTACTATGTTTCGGAGTTTCACTAAAAGGTTTGTCACGGTGTGATTGGTTCCAAAGGAGTATATATGTTTATCGTATATATTATTAGAATTCCATACAGTAAATCTGTGTTAAAAATTTTTCAAAAACATGACATACACAACCAGGACATCATATAAACTTTTCCCGCGAGGTTAGGGAAAGCGGATTTTATCTACGTTGCTTAGTAACTTTTGGAACCAATCACAACGTGACAAATCGAAACGAATCCAGCTGAGCGGTTGTTTCAGTTTGTTTAATTTAATTATAGTGTTTATCTTTGCCACCGGCCCTCAGTAAAAGCTACTATAACCCGACTTTTGCATTTTTTTCTGTTTTTTTTTTTTTTTTTTTTT